TTTTCTAAAGTATTATGATCTTTGAAACCAAAAATGAGTTCAGGAGTCATTTACGTGTGGGGAAGGTATTAGCATCCCACAACGTCCGTTTAAAATGATTACCTAAAATTAATTGTGCAAATTTATTTAAATTCTGAAAAATATTTATTTAATCCCTAAACATTAATTATTTTTATTTTAGAAAAAAAATATTATTTATTGAGATATTATTTGGGTTATTTTGAAAATTATTTTGACTTGACGGGTATAGTTCCCGCTCCTACGTATCTCCAGGTGCAATGGAGAACTCAAAGTCACTTGTTCTATCTAAAAAGTTATGAGGTTGGTTAATTAAAGTTAAGTTTAGTAAAGAAAATTTGTTTTGAGACAAATTATTTTCATAAAATGTTTTGGATATAAGATAACGCGGTTATACATGTACCCTACGAGAAACAATACAGAAAGTGAAGGAAGATCACACAACTATATTGTGAATCATTATGAAATATTTTATTCGTAAATGAAGTATTTGAATTTTAATTTTGATTATGATTAATGTTGAAAGAAATTTAAGATAGCGTAAGCTATACATAAAACTCTTATATTTATTAGACTATCAAAGGCAATGTAAATCACACATCGATATTATAGAAATTTGTATAAATAAATAAGAAAGTGTTAGTTTTTTTTATTGATCAAAACTAGAAATATGATTTAAGAAATTTAAAATATAAGATTAATTTTGTTTTAATAAAAGAAGTAAATATATTTGAATTGATTAAAAATACACTTATTTAATAAAAAGATTAAAAATTATATTTTTTAGATTTATATTATATAAAACCTAAGGTAATGTTGGTACACCTAAGCCTTATTAATTTATAACACTCAATAGTAGAGAAGTTACATGCCAATGTTGTAAATTAATGCAAACATGTATTATTTATTCATTTACTGTAAAATAAATTTAAGATGTAATTTATCTCCATAAAATAAAATAAATGAAAATATAAGTATAGAATTAAATTATATTCTAAATTTGCATAAAATAGTAAAACAGAATAATATTAAAGAACAAAGTTAAAAAATGAAAGTTAAAAAATGAATGAATGAATAAAAATTAAAAAATAATAATAATAATAATAAAAGGAATTTAATTCTAAAATAAAGAAATCTTTTTTAAACCTTAAAATTTTCACGCTCGGTTTGCAAACTGACTACCTAAAACCGAAAATTTGAAAAAAAAAACTAATAAAAGAATAAAAAATAATAAACAAATAATAATGATTAAAAATGAATATCAAAATCGTGAAGATTAATGGCATATGTTTCGAAACCTACTCTGAAGCTATAATGACTTTCTATCTAATCACACAACACTTTTTCCCATTCCAATAGTTAAAGTAATAGTACATTATGGATACGAAATGTAAAAAAGCTGCAGTATCGATCTAAGATCTTCAGATGTCATTTTATCAAACCTTTCTTTCTTTTATTTTTAATAACAAAATAAATAAATAATGAAAAAATAAAAAAGAAACTTAGTTAATTATTAACCCACAAGCTACCGTCCCTATCTTCATTTTTTGCTTTACGTTATTTGTTTAACAAAATTCTAACACATAGTTCATTATTTGTCTAACAGAACTCAACACATGGTTCAAGGGCAACATTCATACTTTAGAAAGTCAAGGGCAAAAGAACGATGGGTGGCTAGGATAATGAGAAAGGAGAACGATAGTTGGCTGAAATATTGCAATTTCTTCTCTTTATTTTGATTTAATTTTTTTTTCTACTCTTTTCTTTTTTTTGGTATTAGTTTTTTCTGATATTCTACTTCTTCGTCTTTCTTTGCTCTATTCTTTTCTTCTTTCTCAAATCTCCTCTAGAAAAAATTCTTTCTTGATTTTTCCTCTCCCTGAATACTTGTTCTTTCTTCTTCCAAAATTTTTTTTTGCCCTCTCCTCTCTAAAAAACCCCCGCCTAGATTTTTTTTACGTTTAGAGTTTTTGCAAAATGTCAAAAGTTCTGAGTATTTCCATATTCATGCTTAAGATTGGTCTTTGATATTGGATATGAGCCTACATAGCACAAGACTTTCACTTTCGAAACCAAACTCTTTTTTTCCAAAAATTTTCTGTTTTTTTGTAAAATAATTTTAATTTTTAATTTTTTATATTTTTTTTTAAATTTTGGAGGCAATATGGGGAAGGCAAAAATTGGTAATCACAGAAAGCCTTGCAGAATAAGTGGGTTTATAGGTTGAAAGAAGAACATGATAGTAGTAGAAGATACAAGGCGAGACTTGTAGTGAAAGGGTTTCAACAAAAATAGGGACTTGACTTCATAGAGATTTTCTCTCCTGTTGTCAAGATGACTACCATTAGAGTTATCTTGAGTATCGTAGCTGCAAAGAATCTTCATTTAGAGCAATTAGATGTTAAAACTGCATTCCTACATGAGGATCTAGAGGAAGACATCTATATGGTACAACCAGAAGGTTTTGAAACTCCAAGCAAGGAGAATCTTGTATGTAAATTTCACAAAAGCTTGTATGGCTTGAAACAAGCACCAAGACAATGGTACAAGAAGTTTAATGATTTTATTAGCAACTCTGGATTTCACAGATGTTATGCAGATCATTGCTGCTATGTTAAGAAGTATGCTGATAGTTATGTCATTCTTACTTTATATATTGATGACATATTAATTGCAGGGTCTAATATGACAAAAATCAATGAACTGAAGCAACAATTGGTAGAAAACTTTGAGATGAAGGATCTTGGACCAGCTAAACAAATTATCGGCATAAGAATCCTCAGAAACAGATTAGAAGGTATTCTAAAGCTGTCTCAAGAGAAATATATAGAAAAATTGCTTGACAAATTTAATGCTGGAGATGCCAAGACCAGAAATACCCCTTAGGAACTCACTTAAAGTTTTCAAAGAAGCAATCTTCAAACATGGATGAAGAAGAAAATTATATGTCAAGAATACCATATGCATCAGCTATAGGGAGCTTAATGTATGCTATGGTGTGTACTAGACTTGACATAGCACATGCAGTGGTAGTTGTCAATAGGTTCCTATCAAATCCTAGAAAGGAGCATTGGAAAGGTGTGAAGTGGATAATGAGATATCTGAAGGGTACTTCAAAAATGTATTTGTGCTTTGGCAAAAGTAATCTCACTTTTCAAGGATTCTCTTATGTAGATTTGGGAGGAGATTTGGATGATAAAAAAAGCACTACAGGTTACATTTTTACCTTAGGTGGTACTACTGTGAGCTAGAAGTCTAAACTTCAAAGTAGAGTTGCTCTTTCAACCATTGAAGCCAATATATGGCTATCTCAGAAGCAACAAAGGAGATGTTATGGCTAAAATTTTTTCTCAAAGAACTAGGAAAAAAATAAGAAGATTCTCCATTATTCAGTGACAGTCAAAGTTATATATGTCTTGCTAAAATCTAGTTTTTCATTCCAGATGCAAGCATATTAATATGAAGTACCATTTTATCAAAAACCTGATAAGTGCTAGAGACTTGTCTTTGTTGAAGATCTCAGGATCAAAAAATCCAGTTGACATGTTGACCAAGACTCTTACAACTGATAAATTGAGGCTTTGCATTGCCTCAACTAACCTTCAAGGATAATTTATTATAAAAGTGCTATACTAGGTGAATAGCACATGAGCTCATTGTTTACAAGAACTTAATTAGACTCCAAGTGAGAGAATTGTTGAGATTGTGTAGTCTTATTTAGTCCCACATTACTTGCTCTTGAGCGACTCTGTTTTACTATTACTATATAAGTAATGCATTGTAAAACTTTAAGAATCATCCAATGAATAAAATATTTCTCTAGTGTAGCTGTGGACATAGATAAATATTTCTCTCTCTCTTTTCTCTTTCTTCTTCAGTTGTTCCTAACATGGACCATATGAGTTGTGGTAATGTTATACAAGATTGTTAGAGGTAAATGACTAATTGGATTTTCTTCTTTTGATGATAATGAGTGTGCTCTTTGTGCCGAATTGAAAATAATACTTTAGAGTTTTCACTTGGCTAGACTCAAAAGTTATGTATTAGAATCTGATTGCTTAGAAATGATAAATTTTATTATGAAGAAATCAAGATCAGTCTTCCTTAAAAATGTATTCCACTTTACAAAATACTCAGGTAAAAAATGGAATACTCATGTATCATGTTGTTTGGGAAATTAGGTTAGTAGCTGACAAACTAACTCATTTGATATACTTTTAATTGAAAATCTCTTTTACCTTTTAAATATTCTTCTAGATATAATTTTTAAACTTTTAATTCTAGACAATTTATAATATTTTATTATTTTTTTATTTTTTCTTTTTTCTTTTTTCTTTTTTTATAAAAAATTTAATTACCTCAATGATTTCAATCATAACAAAAGTTGAAACATTTAATTAAAATAAGAATAACATAGTTACATTTATATTTTTTTCTCCCGATGAAACTAATTATTTAATTATTAACTTTCAAATGATATCGACAATATTTCATTTATTATTGAGATAAATAAATAAAGGATTTGATTGTAATATTATATTAAAGGTTTATTTTATTTTTATTGTATGTTGAATAATAGAATATAAAAAATTTTCTTGTTATTTTATTATATAATTATAATTTAAATTCTTATCTCAAAGAATGATGGGTTAAAAAAATATTATGATAAAAAAAATTTTAATAAAAACTTCTAAAAATATACTTTTTACAAAATATTCCACACTATACTTTTTCTAATTTTCCACAGTTTAAGTCGATTACTATACAGTAAACATAAGCAGAACCGAGAATACCTAGTCACGGTAATCAATCTCGACCTTTGACTAAATTATTATTATATCTAACTGCAGAAACAATTGCACTCATTGCTAAATTAATTAATGACTAATAAGACTTAGAAACTATGTTTGACGGACATAGCTAATTACAAATGTGTCCCTGTCCTGGGCATATATAAGGGCAATAATGTGTTTCCTGCAGCCATTGGCAATCTCAAACATAGCACAGTGATCTATTTTCGTCCTTATCAGATATTCAGGATTTCTCAATCATTCTAAGGATGGCGGAACACATTCCATTTGCTGTTGCCTCTAATCTCATTCACAGGTTAGTTTTTACCCCTTTCTTCAATTTATACAGTAATTATGGATTCTTTTTTTTTGGTGCTCAGCTTACAGTTTAGGTTTTTTCCCCCTGTTTTAGTGTTCATCTGTTTGTTTTAGAATTTGACATCTTTTAGTTTTTCTTTTTACATTTTCATATTGAATAATATCTCTTTTATTGCTGTTCAATAATTTTTGTAGAATGGCTTTTTTTCTTTTTTCTTTTTTCCATTTTTCTAGTTTTTGTTTTCTTCTTTTCCTGCACATAATAAATTTTGTTTGATGGTGTTGTTTTTAGTGTTTACATTTTTAAACATCTGAGGCAAAGCAAACGGTTTAAAAGTTAGTAATATAACTATATTAGGTAAAAAAAATTATAAGTGAGTCCCATAAAATGTGTCTTGTGTCACTTACTCCATTATTAGTTTTTTTCAAAAAATAATTGTTTAGATTTATAACTTTTAGTTTATATCTTTATATGTTTAGTATTAATGGTGAATTTTTTTTATTCAAATTAAGGTCGATAATATACTATGAAACTAATTAAGAAATATGGACTACCTTATTTATACATTTTTTAGTGCTGCAAGACATTTAGAGCAAAGATCAGAGTAAAAAATACTTCTATATGTTCTTTCTTCATTTGTTAATAACTTATCATGAAAAAATTTCTAAATAAATAATTTAATCTTTGGAGGGTCATGTCATTTTTAGGCCATTTTAAAGCAATCGTTCCTCTAACCAAGAGGAAAATTATCCTTATGCAGTACAAGATGAGCAGCTTTAATAAAGAAATTAATCCCGATTCGTAGATGAAGACCACACAGGTATATCACTCCCCTTCCCAACTTTAGGAGAACTTATGGTATCAATTCTATTACAAACAAAAGCATTTACAGAAAAATTGACAGAAAAATCAATCTCAGACATAGGTATTAGACAAACAACAAAGTCCCTAAGATTACCAAAACTAGGATTCCAATTATCTGTACAGAAATTAGCACATATCCCATCCCTAATTTTTTAATCAAGGCATTTACAGAATCTAGGCTAGATTTGGGCCATAACTTTCCAAGTATTTGAAATTTTATGAGTTATACCCACAATAGGTTTCCGAAGTTGAAACTTATGTTTAGCAATGAAAACTTGAGACCATAGGGCCTTAGAGAAATTAATAAATTTACAACCTAATTTCATTATATAAGTCTTATTTAGAGTGTGAATATCTCTTAAACTGAGATCCCTCCTCCTTGGGAGCACAAATAGAAGACCAACCAATTAAATGATATTATTTTTGTTGCAAAGAACTCTAAATAAATTGTCTATATAGTTTATTAACTAGTATTTCATCCATGCTATGTATGAGATTTTGATGAAAAAATAATAATTATTAATAGAAAAAAAATTATTAAGAAAAAACGTTTGTAGTTAATCATTAATTTGTATCAACTAATTAAACATTACAAAAGTTTATCTAAAATTTCCTTGTAGACAACATTTGCAGTTATGTTTGAAACAATGTTTTCCTATCATATATGAAAATCTTATGACTTTTTTAATTTTTAACTCTAGAGATAGTCACATATAATTATTCATGGCAAAAAACAGGCTTTGACAAATACAGAACATACATTAGACAAAGTTTGACCTTGACTTTTATTTATAGTAATTGCAAAACTTACTGTAGTTAAAAACTGTTGAAACTTAAAAGACATTCTTATGTATTAGTTTAGGCATTTGAGTTAAGGAAATATTTAAGTACATATCAAGTAGAATCAAAATCTACAATGAAGTCAAATTATAAACAACTAAGGTTAAACAATAAACTAAAAACATACTTACTAAATATCCTCAAGATGTAGAATTAACTTCCTAGGACTCATACCATCCTTGCAAGCTTCTTCTGAATCTTCAATCTCATTACCTCTTCCCGTGACATCTAAATGGTTATCAATGGCCCCACAAAAGTATATGAATATTAAAAGCACTATTTGTCACATTATTATAAGGACTATAGAAAGAATGACATATCAACCAAAATTTGATCATCAACTCTAAAAAATAACATATTACCAAATGAGTTAAATGTAAACCCAAATTGATGAATAACATTAGTAGGCTCAGAAGGACGAATGAAAGTTGAAGATGAGAAGTTGATCTTGAAAATGTGGCTAATGCAACGGTAATCTTTTATGTTCTGTCCTACTCCAAAGTTATCCAAAATATAAAGTTCAAATCTTCGAAGCACGTCCTTAAACTTATTTAGGAATACTTTCATTATAGATGCTTGGATTCAACCTCTTTATGAGGTTGTTAAGGAAAATAAATTAGTTCAAAGTATTACGATTACTCCCTGCAAAATGATGATTAATTCAAAAGTAATATAACTCACATGGACATCTAGCAAAACCATCTCAACAGAAAGAATATCGTGTTTATTATCATATTTAGTCATACTCTACTTGCGAACTAGCTGTGCCTTAATTTTTCATGTTGATTTAAGTGGAGAAATGTCATAAATCTTGTCCAAATTAACTTTAAATCATTAAAACCTTAAGGGACAACAACCAATTCTTAGTGTTTAAGAAAAAAATCAAATAATATATTTAATTAAAATATATGAAGTATGAATGAACATGTCTATTTCGAAATAAAAGAATGAAAATAATATTGAGTGTTGGATATTATGATTTCAAATAGACTATAAGCTAATTAGTACAAATAAGCAAATAGAAACAAAATGGGAGATAGGAAAAGCAAAAACCTCTATGAAAATAGTTGGACAAACTTTTTAGATTCACTGGAAACTATGAAGAAGGTTTGCAGTAATTATCCACCAAGTGCAAATACATTATTCCGCATGAATACTAATTGTGCAAATTGAATTTTTAGCTAGGAATGATTATAGGAAATATTTTTTAAATTATAAACAATTATTTTTAAAATATAGTAAATATTATTATTTTTGGTTATTATATTTTATTTTTATTTTATTTTATTTTTAATTTTATTTCTGATTATGCACCGTTAGAGTAATTATAGATAAAAGATTCAATTTTTCAGTAAAATTATAGAAAGATTATAATATTACAATTAAGATAAAATATTTAGATAATGTAGAATTTATTATTTTTATTTTTTTTAATCATTATGGGTGCTATTGTGTGAGTGTGACCATTATTTTATAGTAAAATATATGAATATAGTCATCAAAAGAATTAGAGTATATTATAATAATTAGTAAATATTATTATTCTTGTTTAAGGTATTCTATTTTTATTTAATTTTATTTTTGATTATGCATTGTTAGAATAATTATAGAAAAAACTCTCTTGAGTTAAGCCTGATTAAAAAGCATATAATATAAAATATAATTTAATATTTAGTTAAATTATTTGTTGTTTTTAATTTAATTATTTTATTGTATCTCTAAAAAAAATTATCATTAGAAAATTTTTAAAAAGAAATACTAACTATTGTTCCATAATTTCTCTTGACAAATATTTTTTATTTTATTATATATCTAATTCAAAAAAAATTTTATTATTAGAAAATTTTCAAAAAAAATTATAGAGTATACTATAATAATTAGTAAATATTATTATTCTTGTTTAGGATATTTTATTTTGATTTAATTTTATTTCTAATTATGCACTGTTAGCGTATTTATATGAAAAAATTCTTATGTTAAACCTAATTAAGAAACATATAATATAAAATATAATTTAATATTTAGTTCAAATTATTTATTTTTTATTTAAATTATTTTATTGTATCTCTAATTCAAATATTTTTTTATTATTAAAAATATTTCAAAAAGAATAAAGGGTATAGTATAATAATTAATAAATATTATTATTCTTGTTTAAAGTATTTTATTTTATTTTATTTTATTTTTTGTTTTATTTCTGATTATGCACGATTACAGTAATTATAAGAAAAAATTCTCTCATGATTAGAAAATATATAATATAAAATATGATTTAATATTTAGTTTAAATTATTTGTTATTTTTATTTAAATTATTTTTTATCACTAATTCAAAGATTTTTTTATCATTAGAAAGTTTCAAAAAAAAATATTAACTATTATTTCATGATTTTCTGGAACAATTATTTTTAAAATATCCAATTAAGACCTTGAACATGTTTTGTTTAAGGTGAAAAGAGAAATTTTTATTATGAAAATTTTAAATTTCTTGTCAACCAGTGATTAGAAGAAATTAATGCAATTAAATCAATTTGCTTATTTATTATTGAGAAAATTAAAACTAAATGATATTGTAGAATTTATTATTATTATTTTTAAAATCTCTTAAAAAAATTTCCTCATGCCACATGTACAGTGGATTAGGTTTAGTATATTATATAGGTATAGATTTCTTCACAAATAGTAGAAGGAATAAAATAAGTTTGAAGATAATAAACAGGTATAATCATTAACCTGACTTGGGCAAGAATAACTCTCTGAGCCATATATAAGGACTTAGTTTTCCAAAGAGAAAGCTTACGAATTTTATCAACTAAACCATTATACACTTTTTTGCACCATTATACACTTTTTTGCTGGGTCTGGTTGAAAGAATAGGAGTACCAAGATAAGAATCAAAATTTGACTTAAACAACACTAATCTGATTAGCTAACACCTCATTCATATTATTAAAACAATGTTAGATTTAAGCCTATTAGCCCGCTGACCAGAGGCAGAACAAAATTTATTTAAAATTTGATTAACTTTAATAGCTTGGTCAATTGAAGCTTTAGTAATTAAAAGAACATTTTCCACAAAAATGAGGTGAGAAATTTTAGGACCATGAAACCAAAAGAAAAGGAACCAAATCCCTTGATTCAACCTCATCTTTAATACAAATGGACCTAGTCAATACATAACAAAGACAAATAAGGTGATATGGAATCCTCTTGCTTAAAAAATACCCTTTTCTATTAGTTAATTACACTAATAATAATATTTTAATAAAAAATCTTAAACATTTTGGAGTTACAATTGACACTTTCTATCTCTTGTTCTAAAATTACAAGAAACAAATATCATTTTTAAATATTAATTATTAAAATTTATTTATATCCTTATTTAACGTGAGATTTGTATTAACAAAATACTCTTTATTATGGTTTAACTACAGTAGCTGAGCCAGCTGTGAAAAAATCATGATTCAATCAGATAGAGTTGAATTTTTAGATTGTTATTACATTTTTTCCTTTTCCTCGATGCACATGCCTGTACTTTTACACATTTGAAGCTCAACTTTCCTCTCGATCAACCACCCTTCTATATAGTCTTTCTTAATCATTTTAATTATGATTGAGTCAATTCCATTTGGTGTTGCTTCATATCTCATTCACAGGTTGGCTTCAGCAGATTTTCTTGAATTTGGACAGAAGTATGGTGTGACGGAAGAGTTGGAAGAGCTCAAGAACACAATTGAATCCATCAATGATGTGCTCCTTGATACTGACGATAAACAAGAGCAAGCTCGTGTGCGAGTTTGGATTAGAAGGTTCAAAGAAGTACTTCATCATGCAGATGACTTCTTAGATGACCTTGCTATCCAATTTAGGAGGGACAAATTGGGTGCAGCAGAAGGAAAAGAAGTAAACAAGGTACTTTATTCCTTTCCATATTCAAATCGAATTGATTTTCCCATTCAAATGGCTGAAGAAATTAAACAAACACGAGAAAGTTTTTGTGCTGTAGTGGAAGACATGTATAAATTGAATTTACGCCCACGATCTATGGTGGTTAAGCAAACTGACAATGGATGGAGGGAAACATGTTCTTTTGTGTTAGAATCAGATATCATTGGAAGAGACGATAGTAAAGCGGAGATTATAAGTTTGTTGAGACAACCACACGAAAACCAGAAAGTTTCTGTGATTGCTATTGTTGGCATTGGTGGTTTAGGGAAGACAGCTCTTGCTCAATTGGTGTATAATGACTTGGAAGTGCAAAATTCTTTTGAAAAGCTAATCTGGGTGTGTGTCTCTGATAACTTTGATGTTAAAATTATTGTGAAGAAAATATTAGAATCAGTTCATGGTGGCCAAATAGAAGACAAGTTATCATTAGACAACTTGCAAAATAGGCTTCGTCAAAATTTAAGTGGTAAAAAATATTTGTTGGTCTTGGACGATGTTTGGAATGAGAGTCATAAAAAATGGGCTGAATTGAGAACTTACTTCTTGTGTGGTGCTCAGGATAGTAAGATTTTAGTGACAACTCGAAGTGAAATTGTTGGAAAGACAATGACTGCTAGCACTTTCTATCCTTTGAAAGGTTTGACTGAAGAAGAATCTTGGAGTTTGTTGAAGAACATTGCATTTGAGGATGGTTACAAAGGAGTGAATCAAAATCTAGAAACAATGGGGAAAGATATAGCAAAAAATTGTAAAGGGGTTCCATTAGCAGTTAAAACGCTCGGAGGTCTGTTACGAGGACAAAATGAAGAAAGTGAATGGAAAGATGTTTTATGCGGTGACTTCTGGAACTTATGTGAAGAGCATGACAGTATCATGCCAATTCTAAAACTCAGTTACCGAAACTTGTCACCTGAAATGAGACAATGCTTTGCTTATTGCTCTTTATATCCCAAGGATTGGAAAATTTACAAAGATGAGTTGATTCAGTTATGGATGGCACAGGGTTACCTCAAACTTTCAATTAAAACTCAACACATGGAAGACGTTGGTAACGAATATATAAGGATTTTTTTTATGAACTCATTTTTTCAGGATGCAGTGAAAAGTGAATATGGTGAGATCATTAGTTTCAAAATGCATGATTTAATGCATGATCTTGCAACGCTAGTTGCTGGCAATGATTATTGTTACTTGGATAGTACGGCAGAAAAAGTTGAAGGTAGACCCATGCACGTATCATTAGAATCTGGGGCCATTCATTTATTGGATTCGTTGAATGCAAACAGGCTGCGAACTTTGATTTTCTGGTCTTACACTGAGCAGGAACTTTTATCTGTTATTGCAAATTTCAAGTATTTACGTGTCTTGAAGATGTTGCCCTCTTCCTTTTGCAAGTTGTCTGATTCAATTGGAAAATTCAAGCATCTAAGATATCTTGAATTTCAGTTGGAGATAGGTCGAATAAGTTTTCCCAAATCTATAAGCAATCTTATTCTCCTCCAAACATTAAAAGTGAGAAAGTACGATGAAGAATCATTTTCAGAAGTAGTTACAAAATTAGTCAATTTGAGATGGCTTCATATTGCTGATGATTACTCCTTGAGTGGGATGCCAGTTGGGTTGGAAAAATTGTGCTCATTGCAATTCTTATCAATCTTTGTTGTGGGAGAAAGCCAAGAAACAAAGTATGGAAAACTAAATGAATTGAAAGACTTAAATCTAAGGGGAGAATTAGAAATTAAGCATCTAAATTCTGTCGGAGACGTGGCTTTAGAATCACAGGACGTAAATTTAAAAGAAAAAAATTTTCTTCAATCCTTGACTCTAGATTGGTATATCTCTAGAGACATCCGTAACAGTGACAGCTTCCAATTGTTAAAAAACCTTCAACCCCATAGTAATCTAAAACAATTGAATGTGAGGTGGTATCCAGGCATGCTTTTCCCAAACTGGCTTTCGCTCCTCACAAATGTTGTTCATATCTCTCTTTTCATGTTTCGTAATTGTCGCTGTCTCCCACCGTTGGAACGTCTCCCGTTCCTGAAGTCACTTGGTATAGAGTCTCTCCATGAATTGGAATACATATATCTTTATGAAGATGGCTTCGCAGTAACTTTCTTCCCCTCTTTGGAGAGCCTCACATTATGGAGTTGTCCGAATCTCAGGGGATGGTGGAGGCGGGGAGATGATATCAATGATTCTAAGAATTCATATCATTCCTCCTTACCTCTTTCATTTCCTCATCTTTCTCAACTAAAAGTCTGTGACTGTCCACGATTGACTTGCATGCCAACTTTTCCAAAAGTTAAGGTTCTTGATTTGGAAAATTGCAGTGTGGAGCCATTAATAGCAACACTGAACACAAGGGTGTCAACATGTTCACTTGACTCATCTTCCTCCGCTGCTCCTCTTTCCACGGTCAAACAATTGGACATTTCTAATGATCTGAACATAAAAGCGTTACCAAAGGGTTGGATGCAAAATCTGACTGCTCTGGAGTCTCTTCAAATTAAAAGGTGTGGAAGTGATGAATTTGAGACTGGGTTTAAGGACGACACCAACTGCCTTCCCTCTCTGCAACAAATCACCATATGTGATTGTAAAAACCTGAAGGCTTTGCCAGATTGGATTTGCAGCGTCTCATCGCTTCAGCATGTCAAAATCTTATTCTGCCCAAATTTGGCATCGCTGCCGGAAGGAATGACTCGTCTAACTAACTTAAAGATCTTTGAGGTCAGGTGTTGTTTCCTCTTACTTAAGAAATGCCGAACTGAACGGAGTATTGTTAGTCGCCAAATTGCACACATCCCACAAATTATCCTATATGATTAGTGGTGATCATAAAGGTGCTGATGTCCTTTTTTGTCAACTGGTTTCTGTTGTTTACTTTTTTTCAACTTATGTCCACTTTGATTCTCAATTTTGAATTGTAGGTATATAAAATTTCAAATTATAATTTTAACATAGAAAGACTCATTATTGAAGAAGAAATACTGGATATTCAAGACTTCCTAAAATTGTTGGATTTCCATAACGTTAGGGAACCACTTAGTCAGATAAAACTTCAAAAACTGTTTAGTTATTTATTTGTTTATTTTTACTATTCAACATCACACACATCGGCAGGCTTTGTTTTGCTTGACATATTGCTAATTTACTAAGTAGTATAATCATCATCTTTATCTTTTTCTATTATGATTTCATAATTTCCAATTGTGAACAGTTTGTGGTTGTAATTCAAACAAAAATATACATTTTCAACCTTAGCTCTGTATCTTTTATGTTCTAATAATTTCTCTGATATTACTTAGGGCTTGCTGCAACAAATGCAAGAGTATTTTCAGCAAGCATATTATTTACGTGATCGGGTAGCGTGCTTGATTCCTGGCCCTGTATCCAATATATTGCCTTCTATGTATTTGAGAGTTTGCTACGTAATTCCCATCAAAGGAATAAAGTGTGAAAGTCAATGTATAATTTCTTTTCAACCTCCCTTGCTTTCAAGGAGTATGTCGTGACCCGAAATTTGATGTGACCAGCACACAAGCTAAGTTACCTAAAAAACACAAGACAACAAAGATTTTCAAACAATTAATATGAAAATTTTACCAAGTAGAATTTTTTTATATTTTTATTATCTCAAACTATAATAACATGTAAAAATCAATCTATAACTAAACTAAAACTAATAGAATTCTAAAATTTGTAATATTAAAATTGAAACATCTATTTCAAAACCACACTAAAATTCTAATTCCTTAACAATTGTAGAAAGTCCAAAACATAATAATAACAAAAAAGAAATAAGGTTACTAAAACAATGTTTGTACTAATAAAGATTTTATTAAGATCAATTTTCTGACTTTCCATTGATCATCTGTAAATAGAAAATAAATAAGGAGTGAGTTACATAGACACAATGAAGGCATAACAACTATAATGAACAAGAAAGGAAAATAAATAATGCATAAGTAGTTTATCATTATAGAATTTACTTAAAATATATTATTTTAAAATAAATTCATTCTAATTGCTCATTCAAAAGTTAGGTCATAATCAATAGTTTATAAATTTATATCGTTGAATATAAATATCAGTTGAATAACTAGTACTATAATAAAGTATGCATAAACAAAATTAAATAATCATAGAATTTTATAGCATTATAAAAGTAAGTGTCAATATTATTACAATAAGGGTCACTAGTGATAGAATTACAGTCTAAGACAGTTTTAACTCATTCCTCATTGATGGTCTTCTCCTTCTAAAGGCAACCTCTCCCTCAGGAGTAGCTCTATCTAAGAGATAGCCAACTACTTCTCTATGTGCATTAGTAGTTCTCAGTATATCATGTCGTAATTAAACTCAATAGGAGTAGTTCCATTTCGTTGACAGTCTTCTACATATATTAACAGCTCCATTTAACAAGTACACTCTCCTCCTAGAGAATAATTAAGTGCAATTAAACTATTATTTTCGCTCACATTTGAGGTTCTAATATAGTTTCTCAGAAAATTATTCTCATACACAAATTAAATTTATTTTTAATAATAAAAATCTTAAAGCATACATCTCATAATTAAATACCATAAAATAGAATTAAAATATTACTTCTTTCACACTTTACAAATAAATTCAATAATTTAATAAAATTCATATCATAATAAGTTTTTATGTGATCAATAAATAATTTTAAAACTTGTTCCTCAAATAAATAATTTGTAAGTAATAATACATAATTAATAAAATAATAATTATAATAATATGTCACTATGATGATTATCCATTTTACTGTAACGGAGAACTACTAAATCGCTTTCCACAATGTCTTTGGAACTGCAAAACAGCTAGTGACCGAGAAATCTGAACATCAACATTTAACAAAACTTAAGGAAATTATTTGGATTAAATTTACACTCAAAATTTTAAGATATACCTTCCCTACAAATAAACATGCCAAAATCTAATTTTTCTTATATCCTAGAGTCATAACATATCTTAGGAACTTAAAAAGAAAATTTCTTTCCAATGGGTAACACTCTTTTTTTTCATAGAGTACTATCTCTAATTCCAAAAATTCATCCGCTATCTGTAAAAATAATAATAAATATAAATGAGTTTTTCAAAATTGTCAAAAGGATAAATAAAAGCGAAAAAATAGATGCACCCACAGAAGAATGAGAGAAAGAGAAGTGTTGGACGAAATAGAGGAGGGAGCGCCACTTGAAAGAAAAAGAAAAGAACGTAACAGAGAGGGGAGGGCGTTGTGGTATGGAAATAGAATCAGGGAGATGTTGATCAATTTGTTTCTAAATTTTTTGTTTTCGAAGCACTGCATTTTAATCTTTCTTCTTTAAAATAAAATTTATTCTCAAATTTTATAACTTACTGACCTTACTCTTATTCCTCAAATAAAACAAGGGTTGTCGAACCACAAGAACTTATAAGATAATAATAGATGTTAATATCCTATTTAAACTTGAGAAAAAAATTATATACATTATATATACACATTTTGATATTCATAAATTTGAAATATAAATTGAGTAAAATTTAACAATGTAAATAAAATTAAGAAACAACAAGAGAGAAATATTGTTGAGATTGAATTTCATCTATCTTGCTTAATTGATTCCTAATGTTATAGAAATATGATTCTATTAATCAATGCTATTGAGTTCTGTTAAGCTACTTTAAATCAATTCCTTGCATTTAGAGTTACTAAGGATTATAATCCAACAAAGATTCTTCAGTTTATTAAATCATAATCCTTGCATTTAGAGCTATCAGGTGATATGATTCAGATCAAACTTAGAAAATATTTTCCAATTGAAATCAAAGTAAAAAATTAAAAGATGAGTGATAAGTTCATCTAAAGTATTAAGAGAAGAATCACACTCACTAACACTGAATAATAAATATCATAAATATAATAAAAAAAGAATATAAGAGAGTTTGATGAATTACATTCAATCTCAACAGAAAAAAAGTTTAGTTATTCAAGGTGATGAGTGTTAATCCCAAAATACAAAAGAGAATGGAGTAGTAGAGACAAAATGATGAATCTCCCTCTTCCCCAACTAAAAATCAAGTTTTGTGACCTCTGTTTGTGTTTTTCTTTTTTTTCTTTCTTCTTGCTGCCTTTGTTCTGTCTCTATTTTCTATTTATACTATCTGGGGAGGAGTGAACCGCCCAGTGCTTAGGGAATGGCTGAGTGGTTGAAAGAATTCTTCATAGTTAAGAAACTTAAACTGTTGAGCACCTAGATAAGTGTTGGGCGTTTTGAAGACCGAGACCTCCATCCTTTCTGGAACCAATCTGATCAACGCCTTTATAACAGCTGAGCGATTGAGATATGCTTCCCCACCTTGCTCTCTAGCTCTAGTTTGCTTAGCACTTCTCCATAAGCTGAGCAGTTGAAGGACTTCAAATCTTCTAAAAATCTTTCTAAGTCCTGCAAGGTCAAAATAAAAGAAATTGGTTCCAAAATCCAAAAACTCTTAACAAAATATAGTATTTACATATCTTTTTAATTTCTTAAAGAACAAGGGGTCTAACACAAAATTTTCATTTAATTCAAGTTCTTAAGTGTCGAAATACTTACCAGAATTTATACAAAATAGACACTTAACACTACTCTCCCAAACTGTGACCAATCCAAGTAATGTAAGTGTTATTACTTTAAGAAGTGACAAGGATTTGCAAGTATCAAACCAAGTTGGGAAATTAGATGATGAAGAAAAAGAAGATGTAACAAAAAAAAAAAAATTTAACAAAAACAAGTAGAGATGATACAATCTAAATCAAGTATCCTTTTACCTTTCTCAACAAAGCGGCACAAAATAAAAAGATAGCAGAGGCAGAGAATGACAAGAAAATCATGGACACATTCAAAAAAGTTGAAATCAATCTTTCACTCCTTAAAGCAAATAAAATAGATTCTAAAATATGTCAAGTTTCTCAAAGACTTGTGTTCCCTTAAAAGGAGGTTGAAAGAAAATGAGGTATGTGACGCCTAAAAATAACAGGATTTTTTTTTTTTTTGAAACAGGAGAAGCGGAAGGATAACACATTCTTTGAATTCACCTCTAGTACATCACGTTTCTGTTTAGGGATTTGTGGTCTCAACGTACAATATCAAAACTAAGTAAAACAACAATCACAACAATAATGCTCCATCATAACTGAATAACCTCATGCAATGGATAGGGAAATATTTAGTGATAATCTCAGAGTACTACACCTTGATAAGGTAAAATGACATAATTAAAATGCACAAAATCAACATAGTTCAGAGATACATGGAATGAAACAGACTGACTCCCTAAGAGTAGTTCCCTAAAAACAACAACAAACAAACTATCCCAATCAGTCGAGAGGAGAATAATCCTCAATGGGATCGGACTCCTCAGAAGATGTCGGGGAAGCAGAGCTAGAAGAAGCAGCGTCCTCTGTGTCCTCTACAATCCATCCAGCAGTGCGAGGTGGTGAATGAACTGTGGTAAAGGGCGAATAAGTGTTTGGGTAGGTAGGGAGCATGTGGGGCAGTACATCATCATTCCTCACTAAGGGTTCTGCCAATTTATGTTTTGCTTAAATAGAAGAAAAATAGTGACTTTTAGGAGGTGAGAGGGGGAGAACTTGAGAGGAAACAAAAGAGAATAAGTTTTGGGGCTAGTTGAACAACTTGAGAACAAGAGAAAGAGGAGAGATTGAAGATTCATCTTTTCAATTCTTGATTTTTATGAATTTTTCTACACTTATCTTCTTTGTTCTTTCATAAAATGAGTAGCTGAACTCCATAGATAGAGGAAAGGATTAGGTTTGAAATTGGTGTATTAGGATTGAATTTTTTATGTTTTGAAATTGAATATATTGGATTAATTGTTCATCTTTTGTTTTCATATGCAAAGATTATGAGTTATTATTCATGATTGGACTAGGGTTTGTACATAATTTAGAAAAATTGTGTATGAATTAGCTTAAATGATGAACTACATGAATTTCAAAGTTTAGAAATCTTTTTTGAATTTTGTGTGATTTATGGAGTGATTATGCACTTAATCTATATTTGTGTTGAGATATAGTCAAGGAATTGTCATATTTTATTGCAAGTAATAGAATTCATTCACTGAGAAATTGGGGTCCATTCACTTAAAATCATTTCATTAATCTAAGATTTTCAATTCAAGTGTTTTAAAAATTCAACAAAGAGTAAGAAAATTTTAAACCATCCTAACTTCTAGTGTTATGAAGTTTGAGATCACTTTTTACTCATTGAAGTCATTGTTTATTTTGTTTTAAATCTTTGATTTATTTTAATTATAAGTTTATAACTTTTTTCAATATAAATAATTGATATTATCTTAATAGAAATTTGATTAGTGAAGTATTGCTTGATAAGTCAATCCTTGTGGGACAATACCCACTTACTATAATTATTACTTAAATGATTCAATGAACTTGTTGAGTAGTTATCATCGCTCTCCCTCGATTGAATTCTATTCATTCATGACAAGTTTGTAAATTAAGAAAGGTATTATATGGTCTTAAGCAAGCTAATAGAGTGGCTTGCCAAATTATCATCCTTTTTGCTCTTAGCTAGATATGCTCAGTTTACGAATGATCATTCCATGTTTATTAATTGTTTTGAAGACTCCTTTACAACATTATTAGTATATGTAAATGACATAATATTGGTAGGAAATGATAAGGAAGAGATTGATTGGGTTAAACAAGTCTTGAGTAAGACATTCAAGATCAAGGATCTTGAAAAATTGAGATATTTTCTTCTCAATTTTCATGGCCTTGAAGTAACAAGAAGAAGAAAGGGATAATGGTGAATCAAAGGAAATATGCATTGGAATTGTTAACAAATACAAGTTTCTTAACTTATAAACCTGCCCCCACTCCAATTGATAATATTGCAAAATTGTCTTCTGGTGGAAATGGACCATTCACATATGTTCAAGCCTGCAGAAGATTGATTGGAAGACTTACATATGTATTTAACTAATAATCAGTTGAACATAGCATTTTATGTGCAACAACTCTCTGCAATTTCTTTCTAAACCTATAGTGACATATTATGTTGCAACAATTAGAATCCTGAGATATATTAAGAAAGCTCTAAGTCTTGGATTATTATTCTCTTCCAACAATTCTCCTCATTTGAAAGCATATTGTGATATTGAATAGGGTACTTATAGTGATTTAAGATAATGAATGACTGATTTTAGTGTGTATTTTAAGAATTCTCTCGTATCTTAGAAATCAAAGAAATAAAGTACCATATCAAAAAATTCTTATGCAGCTAAATACAAAGAATTGACTAACTTACCTTCTTCAAGATTTTAAAGTTCATTATGAGCTACCATCTTTTTTACAATGTGATAATCATTCAACAAAATACATTGCAGCAAATTCAATGCTTCATGATCGCACAAAACACATAGAAATAAATTGTGTTATTGTGAGAAAAATATAAAAAGAGAAGTTAGAAATTAGAAAAAAATTTATGAAATTGACCCAAAATCAAGCCAAATCTAAAAAGAAGTGTGAGATTTTATTAAATAAGGAAAGATAATAATTTTCTAAAAATTATTTTGTTAATTTTTAATTATCTTTCTTATTGTACAACTAGTGAAAATGCTTTTGTGATATAAGATAAAGAATCTATGAGCATGACTATGGGATAAATGTGATGTATGTTGGAAGAGGTTTAAAATTCTGTTTTCAACTTTGAAATGTATTTATTCATCTTTAAAATGGAGCTGTAATAGGTTTGTTAAAAAATTACGTATTCCTTTATTTTTTTTGTTTCTTAATCACTTTTTAGTTGTAAAATTTTATTGCCTTGCAAACAATTTTTTTAGTATTATTAACTTTGAAAAAAATTAAAATATAATAAATCAAAACTAATACCTAACCCTAATATTTCATGATAACAAATTTGCATATTAACCAAAAATATGAAAGGCAAGGTTGGACCCATATATGTACGGGAGTGAAGTGATAAGTTGATTGTATGATAAATTTATCCTCAATTCTGCTTTAATTTTAATGCACTTGTAGTGTAAGTTCTTAATATTATTAATTAATTAAAAATTATCAATATAAATTTTAAAATAATTATTATAAATATATAATAATTTATAATTAAATAATTATACAAAAACATTTTAATTAAATTTAAAATAAAATTATAAAACATGACAAATATGTGATAAAAAAAAAGGTACATGACGGTAATTATTATTATATCTAAATGCAGAAATTTTGCACTGCACTGACCTCTTTTGCGTCTGGGTCACTCTTAGTCACAGGGGCCAGTTGACCTGTGGTCCTATGATTTTTCAAAAGGGTCCAAATTTTCGGCTTGAAACTGTAAGATTGGTTGATATAGGGGTATTTTAGTAAAGCAGATGAAGATTGCACTTTACCGAAATTATTTAAATAAAAATGTCTTTTAAACTGTGTACAGTAGTTGTAAACGAAATTATTTAAAAATAAATTATTATTTTAAAATTTTTTCTGTTTAATATACTAAATTGATTAAAAATAAGTTTTATTTTTTCTAGCTCTCCACACTTCAACTCGTGAACTACTACACAACAAACGTAAGCAGAACCGAGAAAACCAAGAGACGGTAATTAATCTCAACATTTGATTAAATTATTATTATATTTAAACGCAGAAACAGTTTCACCTATTGCTAATTTGCTACACTAATTAGTGGGCAACTCGTACCTTTATCGTATATTTAAAATATTAGATTGAAGATAGGATCAAAGCATTGAACCAATAAGGTTAGAAACGATGGTTTTAGTGACATAGCTAATTACAAATGTGTCCCTGTCCTGAGCAGATATAAGGGCAATAACGTGTTTTCTGTAGCCATTGGCAATCTCAAACTGAACACAGTGCAGATCAGCAGATCTATTTTCCTCCTCATCAGATTTCAGTATTTCTATGGAGGAACACATTCCATTTGCTGTTGCTTCTAATCTCATTCACAGGTTCTTTTTGCGGCCTTTCTTCCATTTAAACAATAATTATGGATTCTTTTTATTCTTGCATGATATCTTAGCTTACCGTTTAGGTTTTTTTTGCCCTATTTTCTTAGATCGTTGTTTTTAGAATTTCGCATCTTTTAGTGTTTTTTTTTTATTTAAATTTTCATAATGAATAATATCTCTTTTATTGCTGTTCAATAATTTTTATATTTTTTTTTTGTTTCATTTTTCTTCTATCTTTTCCTGCACATAATAAAGTTTTGACAGTGTTATTTTTTAGTGTTTATATTTTTAAACATCTGAGACAACGCAAACGGTTTAAAAGATAATTTTTTTTATAAAAAAATTATCCTTATTATATTACAAAAATTGATTTTTTTATTTATTATCTCAAAATTTCTACCAAGATATCTTTTTATTATTACCAAGATATTTTTTTAATCAAAGGTATTTCTTTTTATTAAATTTATTTTAACTTTTGAAAGCGTGGAAATAAATTAACAAATGAATAATATTTTAGATTTAATCAGAATAAAATTATAATTATGTAAAAACTTATTCTTTTTAAATTAAAAAAATGAGGTATAAAATGTTTATACTTTCTATTTTCTTTTCGAGAAGTACCACTTTCGTTATAGTTTTCATTGGTTCTTATATATTTAGTTTTTTCAATCTCTTTTACCCTTATTATTATTATTATTTAATGGTTCTACCTTTTTAAATATTTTTTTCCTAATGCTTAGTATTTAAATTTTACATTTCTTTAGTTATTAAATGATGCAAACAACATCAAAGATGGACTTAAAAAAAATAAATTTCTAATATGATAAAAAGTAACTTTACATACGCAGATATATTTTGTTAAACAAATATTTGTCATGACTAAATTTTCTTAATATTTTTTCACCTCATATGTAATAATGAAAACGAATAACTCTAATTATTCTTTTTATGGGACATTCTCTTTATCATTTCAATTTTTTTAAATATCAAAACCAGTAAAGTAAAATTTTTATTTGTGTTATTTCTACCATCATTCTTATTTTTAATCAAAATTATTTATTTTTTTAATAATTTTTTATCTGTTGAAAATGTGGAAATAAATTAATAAATGAATAATATTTTAGATTAAATCAAGTAAAATTTAATTGTATAAATTTATACCCCAAATTTTAAATCATATTATAAAATGTATTAAAAAACAAAGAAAAAGTAAACACTTAAATACTTATAAATAACAATAAACCACAAATATATCGAAAATTTTAGATTCAATGTTTTTGTCTCCAATAAAATCAAAAACTGAAATTCAATAATCTAATATCTAATAGCTGTAGTAATAATCTTATCATTTATCTTTTAATATATTATGTATAATAAATTATTGATATAAGTAATGGCCACGTGACAGTCATTTTGTATATCGCTTGGAAGAATTATTATGTATATTAAGAATTATGTTCCTTCAAGAATTTATATGTCATTAACCACTAGCTCTTAACAAATCATTTATTTTTTAAAACGCCTGAATATTCATAAAAAAAAGTATGAATTTGAACTCAAATTTTCAATATATTATATTTAAAAAAAAATGATAAATGCTATATTTTAAAAAAATACTATTTTATATATATATAAACACAATTGTAAAAATTAAAGTTAGGAAAATTGATATTCATGTTATCACATTATACGTTTATATGTTAAAATTATTAGACATTAATTTCATTCATGGTTAAGGCAAGATTCTGTTCTAACGAATATTATGTCATGTATCACCTCCTAAATTATTTTTGTCTAAAAGTTTATACATAGATATTATTATTATTATTATTATTATTATTGTTATTATTATTATTATTTTGCTTGTAATAATGTTATTATTTATTTATTAGAAATTAAGACATTAATATTAATAAACAATAAGAAATAGATTAATTCATATTATGATAATTAGTCACTTAAAAATTACGGTTATGAAGAGATGGATTGCGTATTTACATATTATTTTATACATGTTATATACTAACAATTTAGTAATTAAACATTATAATATAAAATAAGTAATCGGTACATAAATTACTTTCTATGGTACATTTTATGAGATATAAATAAGTTATTCATCAACATTAATAAAAATGGTTATGTTATAAAGTAATGCTATGTTTAAAAAATGTTTATAGTATTAAATTGTCAAAATTGACTTATATATTATGTCTTGTTTTATTTTAAAAATCAACTACAAATATTATCTTTTTGAGTGAGTCTATTGTCACTCCAAAAATGTATGTCATCACTTTTCTTTAAATAATTTATATATAAATTATCCTTTTTTATTATTTGATTACATTAATAATAATATTTTAATAAAAAAATCTAAACAAGGAGTGGTCATAAACATTTTAGAGTGATGATTGACACTTTTTTCTTTTGTATTAAAATTATAAAAAATAAATATCTATTTTTTAAATGTATTAATTGTTAAATTTTTCTATACTCTAAGATTTGTATTAATAAAATGGTCATCCTTGCAGTGGATATGAAAATTATGTTTTAAGTAACGTAACTGGGCTGTCCATGAACAAATGATTATTCAATCAGTAGGATTTGTAGATTATTATTACATGTTTTACCTTTTGCTCATACGTATGCCAATATTTTTACACATTGCTCAACTTCCCTCTCAGCACCCTTCTATTATAGTCTTTCTTGATCATTTTAATGATGGCTGAGTCAGTTCCATTTGTTGTTACTTCAAATTTCATTTGCAGGTTGGCTTCCGCAGATTTTATTGAATTTGGAAAGGAGTATGATGTGATGGAAGAGTTGGAAGAGCTCAAGAACACAATTGAATCCATCAATGATGTGCTCCTTGATGCTGACGATAAACAAGAGCAAGGTCATGTGCGAGTTTGGATTAGAAGGTTCAAAGAAGTACTTCATCATGCAGATGACTTCTTAGATGACCTTGCTATCCAATTTAGTAGGGACAAATTGGATGCAGCAGAAGGAAAAGAAGTAATCAAGGTACTTTCCATTTCATCTTCAAATCAAATTCCTTTATACAGTGAAATGCCTGACAAAATTATAGAAATACAAGCAAGTTTTAATGGTGTAGTAAAAGAAATGAAGGATTTGAATTTAAGTCCAAGATCAGGAGTGGTTAAGCAAACTAATAGTGAATGGAGGGAAACATGTCCTTTTGTATTAGAATCAGATATCATTGGAAGAGATGATGATAAAAAGAAGATTATTAGTCTGTTGAGACAACCGCCACATGAAAAGAAGAAAGTTTCTGTGATTGCTATTGTTGGCCTTGGTGGATTGGGGAAGACAGCTCTTGCACAATTGGTGTATAATGACTTGGAAGTGCAGAAAATTTTTGAAATGCAAATGTGGGTTAATGTCTCTGATAACTTTGATGTCAAAACTATTATGAAGAAAATACTAGAATCAATTACTGGTGACCAAATTGAAGACAAGTTATCATTAGGCAACTTGCAAAGCAAACTTCGTGAAAAAATAGAAGGTAAAAAATATTTATTAGTCCTGGATGACGTTTGGAATGAGAGGCATGACAAATGGGCTGAGTTGAGAAATTATTTGATGTGTGGCGCTCAAGATAGTAAGATTTTAGTGACAACTCGAAGTGAAAATGTAGCAAAGGGAATGACTGCTAGCACTTCCTATCCTTTGAAAGGTTTGACTGACGAAGTATCTTGGAGTTTGCTGAAGAACATTGCATTTGAGGATGATTCCAAAGGAGTGAATCAAAATCTAGAATCAATGGGAAAAGAAATAGCCAAGAAATGTCAAGGGGTTCCCTTGGCGGTTAGAACGCTGGGAGGCCTGTTACGAGGACAAAATGAAGAAAGTGAATGGGAGAATGTTTTACGTGGTGACTTCTGGAAATTATGTGAAGAACAAGATAGTATCATGCCAATTCTAAAACTCAGTTACCACATCTTGTCACAAGAAATGAAACAATGTTTTGCTTATTGCTCTTTATATCCCATGGATTCAGAAATTCCAAAGGATGAGTTGATTCAGTTATGGATGGCACAGGGTTACCTTAAATGTTCAACAGGAAAACAGAACATGGAAGATATTGGTAACGAATTTGTAAAGATATTTTTGAGGAACTCATTTTTTCAAGATGCAAAAGGTGATAAATACGGTGAGATCATTAGTTTCAAAATGCATGATTTAATTCGTGATCTTGCAATGCTTGTTGCTGGCAATGATTATTGTTACTTGGACAGTAAGGCAGAAAAAGTTGAAGGGAGACCCATGCACGTATCATTGGAATCTGGGGCCATTCATTTATTGGATTCGTTGGATCAAAGTAGGTTGCGAACTTTGATTTTGCGGTCTTCTTGTTATCAGAAGGAATTGTCTGTTGCAAATTTCAAGTACTTACGCGTCTTGAGAACGCCGCCACATTACATTTTTGAGTTGTGTGCTTCAATTGAAAATTTCAAGCATTTAAGATACCTTGATTTGGTTCATAAGTTTTATTACGGATCAATACAAATAAGTCTTCCCGAATCTATAAGCAATCTTGTTTTCTTACAAACATTAAAATTGGATGAATTCGATGAAGAATCATTTTCAGTAGTCACAAAACTAGTCAATTTGAGATGGCTTGAAGTTGATTATGACTCCTTGAGTGGGATGTCAGTTGGATTGGGAAAATTATCCTCCTTGCAATTCTTACCGACCTTTGTTGTGAGAGAGAGCCAAAAAACAAAACATGGCACACTAAACGAATTGAAGGACTTGAACCTAAGTGGCAAACTAGAAATCAAGCATCTTCGTCGTGTCAGAGACGTGGGTCTGGAATCACGTGATGTAAATTTAAAAGAGAAAAAAATCTTCAATCCTTGACTCTAGATTGGTCTCGTCTAGATTGGTTTGATGAAGAGGATGTTGTTGACAATGAGGGGTTACAGTTATTAGAAAACCTTGAGCCCCACCATAATCTTAAGCAGTTGAATGTGTTGCATTATCCAGGCACGCTTTTCCCGAACTGGCTCTCTCTCCTCACAAATGTTGTGGACATGTTTCTCTTTGGGCTTTATAATTGCTGCTGTCTCCCACCGTTGGAACGTCTTCTGTCTCTGAAGTCACTTGAGATAAAATATCTTCATGAATTGGAATACGTATATCTTTACGAAGATGGTTTTGCAGTAACCTTCTTCCCCTCTTTGGAGAGTCTCGTATTAGAGAATTGTCGGAAGCTTAGGGGATGGCGGATGCGGGGAGATGAAATCAATGATTCACATAATCTGTCCTTACCTCTTTCATTTCCTCATCTTTCTCAACTACAAATCTATAAGTGTCCAACGTTGACTTACATGCCTACTTTTCCGAGGGTTAAGGTTTTACATTGGCCTGAAGGCAGCGTGGAGCCATTGACAGCAACACTAAACACAACAGCGTCAACATGTTCAGCTGACTCATCTTCCTCCGCTGCTCCTCTTTCCATGCTCAAACATTTGAGGATTTATGATCCTAGGAATTTGCCAAAGGGTTGGATGCAAAATCTGGCTTCTCTCGAGTCCCTTGAAATTGGATGGTATGAAACTGAAACACTCGAGGAATTTGAAATTGAGTTTAAAGACGACACCAACTGCCTTCCTTCTCTGCGACGAATTTCATTATATGATTGTCAAAGGCTGAAGGCTTTGCCAGATTGGATTTGCAACCTCTCATCGCTTCAGGAGATCAAAATCTCATACTGCCCAATATTGGCATCGCTGCCCGAAGGAATGAGTCGTCTTGCCAACTTAAAGATCTTCGAAGTTATTAGTTGTTTCCTCCTAATGAAAGAATGCAGAAAAGAGACAAGTGCTGTTAGCCGTCAAATCGCACACATCCCACGAATTATCCTTCGTAATTAGTCATCATAAAGGTACCGATGTCCATTTCTGTCACCTGGTTTGTTTTGTTTAATTTTTAAAAACAAATTAATTATTTACGTTATGGCCAGATGGGATAACTCAATAATTATTGCGTCTAATTGCTTTACTGATAAGATACTTTCAACTAGTTTTGAGTAGGTGTCCATTTGTTTTAAAGTCAAATAGATATTATCCTAATAAAATTAATTTTCAATTGATAAACAATATCGGAGTCTGATTTTAAATTGATATTAACTGCATATTAGCTAGCAATTATTTTTGGATTTGAATTGGTATTATTAAAAATAGAATTTTGTTACTTTTTAGAATTGAGTTTAAATATTTATAAAAATTTAGATTTATTATATTAAACTTATAAAAGTATAATAAATACAATTTTTAATAAAGTTTTACTATTATTAGTTTTTTATTTTGGCTCTTAAAAATATAATAATCTTAAATAAACATTTAAAATATTTATACTTAATAAATTTTATAAATCTTAATAAATATATGTTTAATTTTTAATATAAGATTTTACTATATTAAATATGATTAAATTAAAATGAATTTTTGAAAATTAAAAACTAATTAAAAAAATTTTGATATAAAATTTAAATAAAGATTGAATTTTAAAAAATAAATGTTCAATAAATAAAGTGTTACTTGAAGAATAAGAAAGATAACTAATACCTAAAATTTCTCATTTAAAACTTAGGACTGAAATTATAGAAGTAGACTGAGATGTGTAAATGTGTAGAAAATTGATTATTGATGTAAAATAAATATACACTAATTTAGGTTTCTTCTGTAAAATATAATTGATGTTTTGTATATTTTAAATTTTTATTGTGTACTTTTTATAATTTATTTAGACTTTCGTTCTCAATTTTAAATTGAAGATAAATTCTCAAATTATAATTTCATCATTCGAAATCATGCGAAGAGTCATTGTTTTAATATTTACATGTAAAAATGCAAAGAAAAAGAAGAAGTAATTCTAGATATTAAAAAAGGTTTTAAATTGTTAGATGTTCATAATATTGATAACTACTTAGCTAGGTAACACCTTAAGAATTGAAAAGTTATCCAGTTTTTAACTATTTAACGTCACACACACCGGCAGACTTTGTTCTGCTTGGCATATTGCTAATTTAATAATCACCATCCATATCTTTTTCTATTGTGATTTCATAATTTTTAAGTGTAAACTGTTTGTGGTGATATTTCAAACAAAAATATATTTTCAACCTTAGTTCTCTATCTTTTATCTTCTAATATTTTCTCTGATACTACACTTTAGGGCTTGCTGAATAGAACAAATGCAAGCGTATTTTGAGCAAGCGTGTTTATATGTTGGAGCAGCAAGCTTGATTCCTTGCCCTCTATTCAATAGATTGCCTTGTATGTATTTGGATTTCAGAGAATTTGCTTATACTAAGTTCCTCATGTTCTACTAAGGTAGTTGTGTTGGAAACTCTCAATTTTGAGAGTTTGTTGCTTAATCTCCATAGAAGGACAGTGTGAAAGTCTCAACTGGTGTATAACAACTTCTCAACCTCTCATAGTGAACGCTGCTTTGAAGGAGTACGTTGTCCTTGAAATATTTCTACCCTTTTCCCAAACATGAAAACTCCAATATTTTACTATTTATTGTCTTTTTTTTTTTTCAGCAACAATAATAGATAATGTGTGTAGCATTATTTCAAGAGTTTCTGCATCCCTAGAGATTTGGTTCCCCATATTGCATATGCAGCCTTTTATCAACATTATAATTTTCAACCTCGGGTGGTGACTTGTCGAAAGAAACGAGAGCAAGGAGTTATTAAGGCACAGGAAGCCAAAAGAGAATAGTGGAGTGCAATTGGGTTGGGGAGTATGACCTGTGTAGATATTCTTCTTGAGACACTGCTAGCTCTTCTGGAAAAATTATGAAGTCATTATGTGCCACTTGGATAGGTAAATAGTGCGGATTGATGATTTGTTTTAGTTTTCTTTTACTGTGGATACTTTGGAGTCCATGTACAACAATTTTCTTATTTTGAAATCTGAGCTATTAATTAATTTTTGTAGTAGTTAATTCCCAATGAAATAAAAATCAAAGTATCCAATAATTTATAACAAAATTGTGTATATGATTGCTTTTCGGTTAAAACAAAGAAAATTTTGAAAGACAATTAAAACTAAATTTTGGCTACATCTTCAATAGACTATTCATTCTTGTTTTTCGTTATTTGTTATGATTGTCGTTCTGCTGTTCACTATTAATAGAGGATGTCATTTCCTCTGCCGTAAGTGTCTGTTGTTTTATACATACAATGCTTCTGGTTGTTGTTGCTGCTGTTGTAGCTCCTAATGCTTTCGTAAAGTATATATGACATTAAAATAGAAACAATCCTAATTTTTTTTCCCTTTTTTATTTCAAATTTTGGTTACTTGTTTGTCGTAGTCATTTAGTTATTTCATAGCAACTCTAAAGTATTAAATTTTAAAAAAGAAAATAACAATATCTATCATATTTTATGAGATACGTGAAAAAAGTACACGGCATACATTACTTAGTAGCCAATTTTACAATGGACCTAAAGGTATTTTATGAGTACTTATATTATAACACTATAACAAAAATAATTTTTAGATTATTATAACTTTTAGGAACAATAAAAATAGTCATTAAAAATTTTCTTGACAAAAAATTATTTTTTGCTGCATCTAATGTTAATAAAAGTTTTACGGGCCATTATAAAGAATTTTGGTAAAAACTTAATTTATCGCGGCTATAATGACAAATGTTACTGACAATTTAAAAGTTCACTAAAATTGATTTTTAAAAAATTACTCATTTACTAGCCTTTATTATTGTTGTAATATCCTCATTTTTATATTGTTATAATTGCATTTTTAAGTTAAATATATGTATAATTGGATATTGAAGGATGCTTGAAGTGTAAAAGACGGTAAGGATCTCACTTTAGCAAGGATGTTTCGCTCTAGCAAGAGTAAGGCAGTGGACTACATCACTAGGATGGAACATTCTGGAGCATTCTACCTACAGCGAGAAGGTCTCACTGTAGTGATGATTCCTCGCTGTTACGAAAAGTGTAGAAAAATATATGCATATTTTGTCTAATATTTTTCGTGTAGGGAGAGATGGCTCGCTGAACCGAACATATTATGAATGATCTCTCACTACAGCGAGAGAGACTCATTGTAATGAAAATGTTGCAAATTTGAGGAGTATTTAAATATTTTTTTGCATAAAAATTATTTCTTCTTCCATTTTACAAACCCTCTTCCAACTCTTTGAACTTTCTCTATATTTTCTCAAATAAAACCCCTTCCAATGTGATTATCCTTGAAATCAAGGGTTATACGTCCGTTCTAAGCAATTCTGAGTAAGTTTATCTGAGTTTAATTCTAAATTTACCGATCGTTTCTCTCCATTTCATATTTCTCAAGGGTATCTCATGATGTTTTAGGAAAATTTCAGTTCTAGGATGTTAAACTTCATCAATCTTCCGTTAAACCTTAATTTTGAGGTAAGGGAAGTTAAATTTTATCATTATATTATAGGTTGTATGTTGAGCTCATGAGAGCTTTATTATATAGCACTTTGGCAATATATGTATGAATAATAAGTGTTAGTGAAGTAAATTATTGATGTGTATGTGTTTGATTTGTTGATTGACTGAATATTTTGTGTTTATATGAGTTATATGATGAGATGGCATGATTGTACAGTTAGATGAACTTTTATTGTTGTATATTGAATATGTTGAATGTGATACTGTATTGATTGGACTGAAATATTTATATTGTATTGCAAATATATGTCTAGAAGATTATAATAAACATGATGTTATAATTAAGAAACATGTCATCATAATGGAGTCATATACTAATATGATGAGCAATATGGAATTGGCCTGGAAGTGATAGTAAGCACGATCTTATGATTGGATTATAGAACGATTATGATAATTAGATGAATTTATTGTGGATAGTTATAGAGATACATTGAGGGTATAGAGTTTGGAGACAATATAGATATCTTGGAGAAATGTAGGGTGATGAGTGATATTCATGATTGTGTACACATTATTGTTGGGGGCGGATGTGTCACATGCCCTCACACTTATTTTCCAATTAGACTCATAACTATGTCTTTAATAAAGGGCTTATGATTGCATACGTTGTATATGTATTGCATGAGCTAATTGGCGACTATTGACATGGTTGAGTGAGACCTCAAGAACTACTAGAGGCATTTATTAAATGTGATCACAGTGCACTAAGAGTGCATATCTGGAAGAGAAACTATAATGTTGTGTTGGATTGTATCAACACTTGTGATAGTATGAAAATTTGTGTTATATGGCTTGGTGACATGAACTATTATCTTCTTTTATACTTATGTTTATGTTGTGCTGATATAATATATTATGATTGTGAAATTACTGTGATGCATGATCTGATATGTTTGTATTATGCTTGAGTGATAGAATAAATGCTTACCTTTACGAAACATTGTAGGGAATATGGATGACAAAGTCTCAAAGGCAAATTAGAATTATAGACTGTTTTGCAAGATGTAGATTAGATTATGCCTTTAGACAATATAAACGTATTATACATTTAAAATTTAGAGTGTATTTTGAGGATAATCAAGACTGGATCTTAGAAGTGATCTATAATTATGTAATTCCTTTTGATTTCCTTGCCAACGGTTGAATTCATCAAACTCTTAGATTTTCTTCTTAAATCATGAATAATGTACAAATTTTCTTCTTAGATCATGAATAATATATTTACTTATCATGATCATGATTTGCTAGAAAGACCTAATAACTATACATTTGAAATATTCTCTAGTATAAAGGTGGTGGCAAACCCTGGTTACACTTACCTTAGGGAGGATGATGAATTAACTATTGAGAATTTGGCAAAGATTGAGGATTGACATAATATAGACAACTAATTTTTATGTCTTAATTATATAG